ATATATGTGCATATGACCAAACATATTTATAATTATTTTATAAATATGATATATATTAATATCTTTAAGAAAATTGCTTGCTATATATTTATATAAGCTGTTTCATTTTTCCATTTTAATTGCAAAACCAAAAATATATATATATATATATTGCTGACAGCTAGATACAAAATACCAAATCAAATACACTGTATAATAATTTAAGATGCAAAACATTGTACTAGAGATTTACAGGTCAATGGCTAGTATTTTTTTAATTTTACTTAAAGAATTGAGTATATAATCATTTATAAACAATAAAATAGTTATAGAAACGAATTTATAGGACACCAAATAACTTATCAGGTAGATGCAATTAAATCCACAATAGTTCCAACCAATTTTTGCATATCCGAAACTCTTTCTTTTCAAATCTGAAGCACCTCTTCGTGATTCACTTGTGGCTCCTTCATATCATCCAAATTTTGTTCCTCCGGATCCGCGCATTTACCTTTCCCTATAACTGAAGCACAAGTCACCAAACTCAAGCCCAGAACTCTAATTCCACAATGCCTTGCCACAATAACTTCAGGGACAGTGGACATCCCCAATATCTCACCACCTATCAATTTTAGGAATCTTGCCTCAGCCCTGGTCTCAAACGAAGGTCCACTGTAAAATGTATATATTGCTTCTTTCAAAGTTTCTTTAGGAAAGTTCAGGGATTTAGCAGCTTTGAATGCAATTACACGAAGATCATAGTCGTATGCATCGGACATTGGCGGAAATCTCGTTCCGAAAGCAGAGATATTCGGGCCAAATAGGGGATTGTTTTCGGCTAAACCAGGAAAGGAAATATGGTCACTTATTACGCCTACCATGCCAGTTTTGAAATCTCTACTTAATGCTCCGGACGCGTTTGTAACTATTTACAATCATAAATAGGATGTTTGAAGAAGTAAATTAAATGACAATACATGACAACATGTAAGCCTACATACATAGGTTTAGAGAGCTATTTCTAACAGATTTAATCCCTACACAATGAAAGGCTTACCAATCAATATTTCCACGCCTAACATCTTAAAAATTCTTACTGGAAATGTAACCTGTTTAAGCGTATACCCTTCATAGAGATGGAATCTTCCAACCATGCAAACAGTTTGCGTTCTTTTATCACCAAGTAGGCCAAAAACAAGTTTTCCTTCATGACCTTGTACTTTATGAAAAATTTTTTAAGAAAGAAATCTTCAATAACTATTTACGAAAAGAGCTAGAGCTTACCTGTACTAGAAACAAATCCTGGTATATCTTCATAAGCGAATTCCACTTTATCTTGGATAATATCAGCTAATTGTCCAAGTCCTGAACCACATATGATTGCTACTTTTGGCGTAGAAAGTTCGAGCGGTAGCCTGGCACGAAGATAGTTAGTAGCATCTGTGAATACTTCTATGGAAGCATCATCAGTATTGTGTATTTGGTCGTGTAATTTCTTTGTCTTTTTCTTTTTTTTAATCCGTTTCCAAAAGGGACGCCAGTTGGAGTATATTTCGTTAAATATTTGTGATGGCATTTGTTAAGATAAAATACGATGTATCGTGTCAAGGGATCATATATATATATCATGTTTTCCAAGCTAGAAAGAACCAACGAATAATTTATTTTCAACAATGATGTCAATATTGATATTATTTGCACACCGAAAATGTGTACAAGGTTGGCGGCGCAGCTCTCCTGTACTACGAATCAGATTTCAAAATTAGGTGTAATGTAACACGATCAGAAAGATTCAAAACAAACGTTCGTTTTGCCAGAAATCGCTCATATCTCAAATATTAGCATAAGAAACCAACTTTTGTGCTCTAACATAAAGTTTTCTTTAGGCAATTTTACCATATAAACTATCCTTCTCTAGATCCTAACCCCGACCCTAACCCTAACCTTAACGAACTTTAAGATTTTCGTCTGCGCCGCCAACCTTGTACACATTTTCGGTATGCATATTATTTTCATTTTCATTAGATTATTGTGATTTAAGTTCAGCCTTGTTAACATGGCTATTTTATTTTACCGTGTTTGTATTTATATATTTAAGGACTCCTTCACCTGCCCTAGCTATATAGGTTAGGAGCCCGCGCATAACCGGTTTTTCTATTTTAGTTTCCATTTTCTTTTAGAAGCTTCATGGTTTTTACGATAAAATAATCATTCCTATTCCTGATTATTTAAATTAACCGACACCTCCTACAGATCGTTAATCATGCTATTTGATATTATGTAGCCTATAAATAATGATAAAACTAGTTTGGCTTTAATAACTAAATTAAGAAAGTGGCTTAAACATCAATTTTCATGCTAACATATTATTAGAAAGAGCGACAATTACAAGCGCTAACTTATAACTTGATTTTTTCATAATTTATACCTAATTTATTAGTGATAGCGATAGGCACTTTCCAAAAAAGTAAAAGGGCTTAAAATCGGTCTTGTATTTTGATTTTCCTATTTGGGTAAAAATTTACATTACATCCCTTTTCAAAAGGGGGGAGAAAAATGGAACTATGCGATTTGCAATTATCGATCTAATTTCAGGTTTTGATGGTTTTGGTACGTACGTACGTACGTACGTACGTGCACACGTACGATACGAAAACCTAAATTCACAATCGCTCCTTATAAAAACAAAGTATAAATAGGTCCTAAATATTATACTATGGTGGCTACGGTATAATATAAATATTGTGCTACTTAATGATACGTTACATTAAAGGGATTGTTTTTCTTCCCTATAACAAATTTTTTAAAATCATATTCAGAATTTGCCCGGATTATTTTTTTAAGAGATGAGCATTTTCCGTAATAAAAATCTATACAAACCTTTAAAATTTTCCGAATATTTTCAAATTTCCTGAATATTTTTGAAACCTTGTTAATTTCCTGTTTATAATTATTTGCTTGATAAAAATTATAATCAGGAAATTAACAAGGTTTCAAAAATATTCAGGAAATTTGAAATTATTCAGAAAATTTTAAAGGTTTTGTATAGATTTTTGTTACGAAAAATGCTCATCTCTTAAAAAAATAATCCGGGCAAATTCTGAATATGATTTTAAAATTTTATTTATAGGGCTTAAATTATAGTACACACTTCATTGATGCTAATAATTTAGAAAATGTGGAAACACTACTTGTTTATACTTTGTCTCTATAAGCAGATTGTGGATTTTAGATTTCTCGCTCAGTACCAAATTTTGAAATACTTACATCTACTTTTTTTTAAGGATCTGTATCTTTTCACCGACAAGCTTTTTTAAATATTGCACTAACCTTAACTCTAATTCTAAACCCGATCTAACGACAATGACCAAAATTACTTTGTCGGTGAAACAACTTACCTAGCATCGCCACCAAAATTAGGTACGTACGTATGTACGTAAGCGCTTCTTAAAAAATTCATTCTAATCGTCAGCATAAGACTTACAAAATCACGAAATTATTGAAACAAAAATAATTGGTGTTTTTTATTTAAAGTATGGTGCCGTAAATAGCTAAATACTACAATTATATTTATTACATATATTTTTACAAAGGTTTTTTACAACCGTAATTGTAGTAATATTTACTACATGT